TACGACGACACAGAAGATCCTAATGGGGTCCCGCAGAGGAGGTATAACACCCGAAAGATTGCAAATAACCACGCTGGAACTTTGGCGTTCACGAGAGTGTTGGGTGGGTATACGCAAGCTGAGATGTTGGTTTGGCATTTGGAGGCGCAGAAGTGCCATGTTTTCTTTCTAGCGAAGGGAATTCGATATTTAGCGTTGAAGAAGATGGAAGAGGAGTGAGTGAGCAGAATATTTAGAGATTCGTGAAGGTGCTGATAATGTCAGGGATAACTTGGATGGTGAGCAGAAGAGTGCGCTCAAAAAGCTCGTCAGAGAGCTGCCGCAACTGATGAACGAGCTCCTGTGCCGGCAACCAATGCTCCAGGCGTTGGCAGCGAAATGGAAAGCGGGTGAAGATTTGACATACACCCAGCGAAGAAGGAATAGCCAAGATATCTACATCATCCCTCGTGAGAGAGATGTCGATTTCGATGCCCGGAGTATCAGTTCAGTGGGCTCAGTTGTCTCGGAGTGAGTGAGCTATCAAAATTCGCGACATTTTGCTAACCGTGAACTGCAGCGTGTATATCGACACCAAGGAAATTTATGAGACGTGGCTGATCCGGAAGGGGGACGGGTATGTTCGCAGGGCGGAGCATCACTGGAGTTTCCTTGGGTTGCAAGTCCACGAGAGTTATGACAACGACAACTGGAATGCTGATATGATACCATGCTCTCAAGATGAGTTAAAGAGCAAATACGAGCTTTCAAAGACCGGAGAAGGTTCCGATATCTTCAGGAAGAAGATCAACAGCCTCCCAGCAGGCGTCCATCGGGAAATCGAGTTCTTGCTCCAAGAGAGAATTAGAAACTCTAAGGCTCCCAAGCTAATCCGGACCTGGACGTTGATCGATGCAACACCGACTTCACCACTGATACCGAGACAGCAGCCAAGAGGTTGGTTCGGGTGGTTCAAAGGCGAGCCAGAGGTGTTGGACTGGAAAGTAGTGCTAAAAGCGGAGAGCTCTGCCGCGGACGGTATGGACTGGCCGAACGGAGGTGGTGACCCATTCAGAAAGAACCGGATTGAGACCTTCTCGAACAGAAGAAGAGTGCCCGACTATCGTGAACGGAGAGAGATGTCACCCGAACGCGAAATTGTGATTGATCAGCGACGGGACACGAGATATTCCCGTCACGTGGAGCGAGTAGAGCCAAGGCAGCCAACTCCAGAAGAAGCTCATAATAAGATCAAAGAAATCATCACCGAGATTGGGGTGTTTGCTAAAGATTCTGCTGGGGAAAATCCACTCGAGCCAGTTGCAGGAGTAAGTTCTTGACGTGGGAACATCTGTGAGATAATGAAGTTTCCTTTGTCGCCAATATTGGGGATATGTATGAGTTTAGCCGCTGGAAGGCAGTCCACTAGCACCAAGAAAGACTGGAAACAAATGAGGGATATTTGAAATTTCACCCGACATAGTCTTGGCAATAGAAGCCGTAATGTGACCATAGTAAGAAGCCGTAAATGTTGTCGTTGACTCCAAAAAAAAATTACTCTGGGATCATCTGCGGAGCAGGCACAACAGCAGCTTGCCGAAGAACACCGTCATGACTTCTCCACATATGTGGCAACATTTTCTCCTCCTGCGATACACTCGACCAGTTCCTATATCGCTGTTCCCAAAGCATCCAAGAGATATCCTCCGCCTCCGAGTACCGAATTCTCTTGCACAAAATGAAATTCTGCACCAGTGGTCGCCGATCCCGAAATAGTCGACACACATTGACGACATCCATATCCTTGACTCCGAAGGAACCGTTGTAGATGACTCGCAAGTATTCTAAGTTGGAGAAGTACTTGAGCAGCGATATGAGGTGTTTGAGACGATCGAGATTGATGTTGTGTGACGGAATATACAGTCTCTTAAGATAGTGGCGTGCCAGGCAGAATTTGCTCATATCAATAGCCCACTGAGAAGGACGTAAGAACCCATCTCTCCTTTGACTACCAAGGAGATTGAGAAACTCGGGGGCTGTCCATGCTGGAGTTCCTCGGATTTGGAAAGTGTTTCGTCCGTAGAGTATTTCCACTGCTTCGGCGTAGATTTGTCGATTCGTCCTAAGCAATGCGATGTAATCCGCCATTCTAGCTCGCTCTCTGTTCGGATAAAGCGGTCCGTCGACGACGAAGATGACGCTGTAGATGGCATCTCTAAGTTCGCGGGGGAGATCCAGAAAACATGACCCCTCCAGGGGTGAGATCTCCTCGACTTTATGTGTTATCATCTTGGAAGACCCGGTAGACATATTCCTCTGTTCGAAGCTGAGGCAAGAAACAGGTCGGAGCGCAATATTGTTGATAGTTAACTCAGACATTGTGAACGGAAAGTGCAAAACTGGTGAACAGACAAAACAAGATACAGAGTTGCCGACCTATATATAGAAGGTGGAAGAAAATAGACTTTGATAGAAGTTGGAAGTGGAGATGTCATCCAGCACGATGGAGCCCTTCGAGGCGAGCTGAGCTAAAATGTTAGCCCAGTCCGACGCCAGGCCGAAAATAAACTAGCTAAATCTAATCCCTGTTCCAAACGCAAAACTCCAAAAAATTATCTCGAGAACTCCAACGACGAATTTCGACCATTCCAATATCGATACAGCAGTCCACACGGTACGCAGCCGCTCACTCCGCCTCAATCCAGTTCGATCAATCGACCTGCGCTACCAAACAATCGCAAACCACGCACCTCACGACTTCAATCCACGAACCGTAACCATGCATCTCATGTACACCGTTGATAGCACCGGCAAGCGTGTCTATACCCTTAAGAAGGTCGTTTCGGGCGAAGTCACCAAGTCAGCACACCCTGCGCGATTCTCGCCAGATGACAAGTACTCCAGACATCGGGTTACGCTGAAGAAGAGATATGGATTGCTTTTGACGCAGCAGAGTGAGTTTTTTTTCTCTTTTTGGACATGGCATCTTTGCGGTGTGAGGAATATTGTAATGATGTACCTATGCTAACTGGTTCTGCAGAGGATCTCAAGGTCTTGGGCCAATAGAGGGGCTGGCTGAATCGAGTATGAGGGGAAATTTTGGGTGATTGTCACAACGGGAGATTGAATGTGAGCAGGCATTGCAGGCGCATACAAGGAGTTTAGGTGGAAAATATCTGTTCGTGGTCATTGGCGTCCTACGTACGACTTGTAGGAAATCAAAAAATAACCGTCGCTATGCAAGTCTGTCTATATCCAGCAAGCCAATCCTCGCGACGCCATAACTCCGAGTAACATCATTTTTGGACTCCATACCAACGTTCCCTAGTTTCGTTTCTTCGAATTGACGTTCCTGCCAGCTCCAACCTTTGCTCTCCCCCCTGCGCGCCCTCTGTCACCAGATAGAAGTCCCGGTAGGAAGTCCTCGTCCATCAAGTCTTTCTCCTTTTTCCTCCGAGCTCCGGTCATAGCTTGGACATACTCCTTCTGATCCTCGGCCAGAATTAATCCTTGACCCCACCCACCCTTGCCCCCTCCCTGAACAAGTTTCCCGTTCGATGCCCCAGCAACAGGTTTGGGAATACTATAAACATCCCCTCTCTTGTTCCATTGCATGTTCTTCTTCAGGTGAACCTTGACTTTGCCATCTTTATCTGTAGTGCATGATGTCCGCATGAGGGTTGGCTTTCCACATCGCCCACAGAATTGCTTGGTCATATCTTTGGTAATGGCGAAACAGGCGTGGCATCTCAGCACCCAGGTTTTCAATTGCTTGATTCTTTGAAGGGTTGGAGAGAGTAAATTGAGGTTCATTCGGAGAAGGACATTTTGCATAGCGAAATCGGATGTGATGAGTGCAACTTGCATAATTGCGGCTTCGGTCTTCTTGCTGGCGGTGCTGTTTTCGGACTTTGCCATGTGCTTCTTCAGGTTTGAAGGTGTGATCCAACCTTCGCCACCTGATCCTTCTGAATCTGATTCCTCGACTTCTTCAATTGGGCCATCGGGGGGAGAAGTCTCGGTGGTCGACTCAGGCGCTTGAACTTCTGGAGCAGAAGATTCTGTGATTTGTGTGACTTCGACAGTGGCATCTAGTTGTGGGATCGGTCGTATCTCCTCAGAGCTCAAAGCAACCGCCGCAGATGTGTCTACTGGTGCTTCGACTTCTGGAGCAGAGATATGTGTGCTCTCCAAAACCTCATCTATCGACTTGAGCTCTCCATCCTCTACAGTATCCTTAGGCACAGTAGTTCCCCACGCGCCTCGAGTTTCCAAAATAGGAGCAGGTGGTTTTGTAGCCTCGACCACTTCCTCCGTGACCTCTGCCTTCGCATTTACCTCAACGGGTTTCGGTGGTTCTCCATTAATCTTCTTTTGATTTGGATCACTTCGCAGCCTCCAATCACCATTATTCCTCTCACACTCCAACTCATAAGCCAGCGCCATAAGATGAATATCCGGCCTACTCAGAACTTCCAAATCGCCCGTTTTGCGCGCAAAGTCGGTAATGACCTTCACGCTCGCGGGTCTCGGTGATCGTAGCTTGAGGAAGGGGAGCAGAGTGCTCTCGATTCGGGCGCGGGTGACTGCATCGCGGATTTCGTCGATGACGGCTGGGATGGTGTAGATGTTTTCGGCTTGGCCGAGGATTGTAGAGACGTGAGGGTCGTTCTTGATTATTGGACCCGAGTCGAGGATTAGACTGTGTATGGGCTTTGGGTTCTCGGTCGTCATGTTGGCGGCTGGGGTGTTGTCTTTGTCTGTTCAGCCTTGGTGGGGTAATTCGAGGTTCAAATGGAAAATATTTTGGATTCTGCCGAGTGCGGGTGCGGCACCAGGCGGTGAGGTCACTCCGTTGCTAGGGCCTTGTCAGGTTCTGGAAAAGCTTGCAAATATCCCACAATTTTTCACTGCTATACAGTACCAAATAAGGGCTTCCATTCAATTCATATTCAAATCATGTGATGGGACAGATGGTTCGTTTAATCACCTTCATCATCTTATTGGATAACCGTTAACATTACTCAGGCCGAGTGGTTATGGCGTGTGACTCAAGATATTATCTTGTCAGCTTGACGCTGAAACAATTCTCATGGGCTTCGCCCGCAGGGGTTCGAATCCCCTTCTGTTCAATGCAACTTTTGCTTTTTGAAGCTATGATTTCTACTTGAATGCTCCGGATTGTGTTGTAGTGTGGATTCGCGTGGACAAAGATAAGCGAAGCGAATTATAGTATTGGCCCCTTGTTGTCTTTACTAGGGTCCTCTTCTGAGCCGTTGTTGCTCTGCCTACCCTATTTTTTATCAATCAGCTGAAGCCTCCGTCACTAGAATTGCATATTTGAGAAACATCTCATGATATACACGAACATAATGTACAGCTTACCAAGTAATGAAAACCACGCCCGAAAAGTTAAAGCATCATCATTCCTTGGAACGCTCTACACTGATAACATCTCCCCCTTTTTGACTTTCAAATCAATCATCATCTACCTGACTCTCTTAATTCTTGACGGTTATGCGTGTTCTAAGAAACTCAAGAGTTGCAGCACTTCGCAGAATTAGGTATCAGACTCTGGATGTTGAAACGTGGTAGGTAAATATCAGACCTTGCCTAGCAAAATAAGCGAATGTTGATATGGCGTCCTCAAAATGAGGTCAGTAATCAGCATCTTACGAGTTGCGCTTTACTATGTATTCATGTGTGGTAGAAGATCAAGCCTGTTCGATAGTGTGGGACACCGTCAGTCAGATATCCTGGAACGGTGCTTAGTAAAATAATCAACAAGTCGCAGTATGTTTGCAATCTAATACTAAGCATGCATACACAAGAATTGTTTTTTGGGAAAATCAATTGGATTTTACATGCGATACAAGTACAAGTGCCTATCTCCCCTCCTTCTCATCGTGCTCAGAGCCATTAATACAGCAGGCGCCAAAGCCACAGCAGCCAAGATCCACCACAACCTCCCATACGCCCACTTCACAACCGCAGCATCCCAACCATGCCACGAATTCCCCTCTCGATGTTCAAAGAACGTATACGGGGTCCTATCATAAAACATAGGCGGCAGAATCCTCACGCCGTCCTCTCCTTCCACATTCCCCACAACTTCGAACCACTTCCCCAAAATCCCATTGACGAACATCGGCCCCGTTGCCCAGAAGACGGTCGTATATCCCGTCCCGAACCACCCATTATGGTCTTGGAGACTGAGTGCTAGTTTCAGCATGATGGAGTGACGTGGTATGCTCGCCATGATGTCGTTGCTAACGCTGTATAGATCGGTCTTTGGAAACCAAGCTGCGAAAGCGAGGAGGGGATCGAGAGATCTTCGGCATGAGACGTCTAGGTCGATGTATATTCCTCCATAATGCCAGAGTAGAAAGTAGCGTATGGAATCGACTCGCTCGATGGGGTAGGGGTAGGAGTCGTAAGTGGGAATGAACCAGGGGAAGTGCTCTGCTATGAACTGTCGGGCACTCTCATCGGTCCAGAGCATGTGCGTGTAGGTGGGGTTCTGTTCTTTGCACGAGTTTTGGGAAGATAGCCATCGCAAAGGTATGTCTGTTGACTTGTAGGTTCGATGAATGATGCGAGGGATTCGAATTGGGAGGTTGGTGGTATTGTAAATGAATAATAGGTTCTTGTTGAGGGATTCGTTGAAACTTCTGGCGTAGTCTGTTGGTAGGTCCCTGAGTGTGAGAAGTCGAGATTGGAGATTTGACGAGTAAGTAGTTATGTCATTGAGAGTCGAGCAAAAGCGGACTGAAAGGTAAAGAAGTGACAGTATCAAGGTTGCTTGTGCGCGGTTGCGAAAAGCTCGAGTTATGAAATTGATGAGGGAAGTAAAGAGATTCATAGCGAAAAAGAAATATTTCCAAATCTAGAAATCTAGAGAAGGGAAGCATGCAGCTTTCATTAACAATCAAAGAGCGCTGATCGAAGGACATAAGAAACAAAGAGCCACTGGAGACTACACGAAGTGGAACCTGATAGTTTGAGCAGAGAAGCTCTTTGTCTTGACAGAGAGAAATGTGATCTCAGTAACACACCAGGCGGTGAACAATGCCTCGAGTCCCCACAGCTATCTTCATTTAACAGCTTCAAAGCTTAGCGCTTCACTGATCATGACGCTGGTTGAGTATATCAGAAACTTGGCCAGGATACGAGGTTGAAGCCACCATCTTGCCCCTGGCGAGAACGAGATGAAACGAGTAGAATGATAGCATCCTGAAGAGAACTTACGATGCTTTCCACCTTCCTAAAATCGAGCACATTTAGAGAAAGAAGGTGTGGGTCAAAGAAGCATTGACTCGTTTCGTTCAACTCAGCCTCAATACGCTCAAGGTCTACCCCTCTGATAGGAGGACCTTTGGTTTCCGTCAACCCAGAGTTTCTCCTTGGAAGGTTGAATGTTGGGTAAATTGTCCGACAGTGTTTAGGTAGCTGATGATCGTCCACGAGACGTTGAACTTAGCAACCTAAAATGAAGAAATACGTAGACAATTTAAGTGTCAGAAATAAGCTACTCCTATGAAGATCTTAATACTGGGTTTCAAGATGACTTCAATCTTCACATGAGTGGTCGATGGAATTCAGGTGATTGATTTCCGGCCAGTATCCAAAAATACAATAAGTCCGCACGCAGCCAAGGCAGAGGGGGAGGCTTGAAAGCACTCAGTTAGAGTCTAGTACCTGTCTCAGCTGGACCCTCATGAGACGTCTACATTCACAAATCTCCAGCAGGCAATCTTACCATTTGAATTCTACATGCTCTTGACACCAGCCCATATGTCTTGAGCCTGTGATCTGAAAATCACGTTCTTAGCACCAGTGCCCAAGTGGCATCTTATGCGGCCTTAGCGCAGATCTTTCCAGTCTAGTATCCAGCATTGCATCTACCATAATCGTAATATTCCTATTCTAGACCGAATCGCTCGATCCAGAAATATAGTTTCTGTACCAGCCAGGCACCAACTTCGAACAAAAAGGTGCGTCCTGCTCCGCCTCAAATGGTTCTAGATACTACAAGGCATACCCCAACAAATTGACTTGAGCCCGAAATGCAATCAATTTTTTCTCCCCCTTGTGTGAACCGCAGAACCTTCTCCAAGTTCTTCTCGTCTCTGTTTGGGTGTGGGGAAGACTGATCTGAGCAAGAAATCCTCGTCTGATAAGTGGACTGGAGATCAAGACTTCGAATCAGCGTAGAAGCTTCCCTTTCTGAAACAAAGTATCGTGGCGGAGTCAATACGTGGTGGGATAACCCAATATTAAGTGAAAACTTTATCAGGGACAAGGAGCTCGAATTGATCAATCACAAACGAGATGCAATTTGAGTCTTGGTAAGGGTTTCGTGCTCTCGAATAAATTTGATATGGGGTCATAGCTAGTGTATCTTCATTGCTCGTTTATTCCTCACAATGGTTGGCTCGCTTTACGAGTAGGCAGTTGGCAGTTGCCAAGCAATGCCCACATGCCGAAGGAGCTAGAGCACCGCCCAGGATTGAGTTCATAAATGATAAACTTCTGCTCTTCAACCATTGCTTAAATAGTGAACCTCTCACTCACCTTCTTGGATAGAACCTCCTTCCTCCGCGTAACAATGTCCCTCTTCGCTCTCGCAGGGACACCATATTTCCCCTCCCAGGATATCCCATACGTAGCAATCGAATGCGCAATCGCCTTCGCATTATGCAAAAATGCACCGATATTCAGGTTCTTGACATTATCTATGGCGCTGTGATAGTTGACATCATACGCAACACCCGCCACACCTCCAAACAGAACAGCTTCCTCTTCAGTCTTGAGCTGCTCGGCACCAGTGAAGAGACCTCCACATGGTACGCCAACTTCAAGGAATGGACCATAATCTGATCGGCCGTCGAAAGCCGTCGATGTGAAGGGAAGCCTTTCTTCGTATTGGAAGAAATCCTCGAAGAGCTTCTCGGCTTCTGCTGAGCCTGGAGCGCCGGCGGTACCGAAGGAACTTCCGTCGCCGTCGTAGATGGCGTAGTAGAAGTTGGGTGATGCAATCATGTCGAAGTTAAGGTAAAGACGGATCTTGGCGAGCTCTGCTGGGGATAGTGAGTTCACATAGAAGGACGAACCGACCTCGCCCTGCTCTTCTCCGGACCACCAGGAGAAACGGATAGCGTTGTTTACGCTGTACTTGGTGAGTTGAATCGCGATCTCGAGGAGGGCAATGGAACCAGAACCATTATCGTTGATACCGGGTCCTGCATACTGTCAGAAAATGGTTGATCGAATGGCTGTGGATACGAACCCTCAATTACAGAATCAGAGTGACCACCCACATGCAGAACATTGTTCTGGTCTCCACCCTTTGTCTGCGCAATGACATTGTAACTTGTCACATTCGCCAGATTAATGGATAATGCAGCAGTAACCGGTCCAGCGGCGAGCAGGTTCAAGAGCGTGGCGCCAACAGTGTCCGATACGCCTGCTGCAGGCTGAAATGGACCTTCTGGATGAGTCTCTTGGGGTTCAAGAGTACGATCTGCGAGTCTTCCAACGACATTATTGTAAATTATTGTTCCGACCGCGCCAGCTGACCCAGCGGTTGCCACCTTTGTACCGAATGTACAAGTTCCACGCTTGATGAGCGCAATTGCCCCTGCGACTGCTGGTGGGAAATCCCCCTAGGCTCGAGTCAATCAATGCTGAATGAGGCGGGGAATGACCACTTACAGGTACACATCCAAGGTTGTTCACAAGAACCAATGGCGCCGAAACAGCTCCAGCGGGACTGTAAATCATATAGTCGGCAAGAAGGGATTGGCCATTGGCTGTAAAAACAGCCTTGCCACCGGGCATCGCGAAAGGCTGGATCTTGACATCGTAGTAATCTGGATACGCCGAGAGTGTGTCAACAATCCAATCTACAGTTTTATTGTGACCAGTGGTTGCTGCGCGGCGAGTATTGTCGTCCGCAAATGAGAACAAGGTTTCAGACTTCTTCAGAAGTTCGGATCGAAGTAAAACTCTGCGGAGCTTGTTCTATGATAGAATTAGTAGTGTTTGGTGAATTGAAGCTGTAGGTCACTGACGGACTCGACCAAGGGTAGGGCTGCAAGGGTAGAAGACGCCAATGCGACGAGGGCGACTAG